GATTCGGCACCAGTGGTTCTATCCAAGGGCAATTTTTGCCCTGCATGGGACATTTGGCAGTGTCTGAAGGCATTTTTGGTTGTCACACCTTGGGGGGTGTTCCTGGCATCTAGGAGGCAGGCCAAAGACACTGCTAAATATCTTACAATGGACAGGACAGCCTCCACCAACAAATCATCATCCATCCTTGGATGTCAACAGTGCCTCTGTTGAGAAACTGAATTAATATTACTATTTCTTTTGGGCTTCTGCCTACCATCTTTATTATTTGTTTTTTATTTGATCCATTGGTTTTTCTTCTTTTTTTCTCATTTTTTACCATTTGGTGTGGGATAAATCTATAATATTTATCTCATTTTTACTGTTCTCTAAACTTGTTACGTATATAATCTTCTAGGTGTTTTTTTTTGTGGGTTTTTTTGTTTTTTTTGGTGGGTTTTTTTTTTTTTGAGCTCAACCTACAGATTTCATCATGAATTCTTGACAAGTTGTAGTCTAACAGAAATTGTTTTACCATTTCCTGCTAGGTTCAATTTCTTAATACCCCTCATGCTCCTTTTGTGCATTATTGTCTTGCATTTTGGTTTTGTGTATATGTGCTTAAACTACAAAAGACATAGTAATTATTGTTTTGTACAGCTAATCCTCTTTTATATTGATCTATTCTTGATTCCTTCCTACATGTCAATGCTTCTATTTTGGTTCATTTTCTCCCTATTTTTTCCTTTAGCACAGACCTGATAACAATGAATTCACTCAGTTTTTGTTTGTTTAAAACATCTTTATTTTACCATCAGTTTGGAACAGTGTTTTGTAGGATGTAAAATTCAAGGTTGGTAGTTATTTTCTTTCAACACTTTAAAGATGTCATTCTGTTATATTCTGGATTTTATCATTTCTGTTGAGAAGTTGTCTGTCAATCTTATCACTCCATTACTTTTAAGACTTTTTATTTCTGGTTTTCAGCATTTTGACAATGAGGTGGCTGTGTGTCTTTATTTCCCATTGTATTGTCAACGTGGGATTTGCTGAACTTCTTGAATTTGTGGGTTGATCTCCTTTATTTGTTTGGGCATTTCTCAGTCATTTCTCCCCCAGCCTTCTGCCAGAAGTCATGTATTTTGAGATCCCTGAAGATGGCAGATTTGTCCCCCCCCCTTAACCCCACATGACCATATTAAAAGCATTTTAATTTCTCTTCATTTAGTGATAGCCCTCAATCTAGGCCACACTGTAATCCTAAGTGTGTGTCCAGAATCAACAAATGCACCAGTGGGGTTTGGCAGCGGAGGCAGGGGGATACATTGCTCCTGATTGTTGACTCAGCCTGAACATTCACCCTCACCAGAGTTATTAGTCCATCTATTGCTTCCACAACTATTTGATGATTTAAGAAGAGATTTTTGTAATTTAGCTGGCTTTTTTCCTAGTTGCGGACAGGCATATTGGCCTGCCACACCCTGGTATATCCTGCTTGGCAGCGGAGTATGTATAGTTTTTTTTGAGTGCTTGTCAGGTGCCCTTCTAGGCTGTAGGTACAGGCTTTCCTAGTCTAAGGTAGGTAAGACAGATATATACAGAATAATGCAGCATGCTAAATATTATAGTAGTGGTGTGTTACAGTGATAGAACAAAGGAGGCGAATGTGAAATAGCATAAGCTTTTTGGGAGATTGCAAGTTTTATCATTATACATTGTTACAGTTTCAAGTTCAAGGGGAAAACCAGTAGAGATGAGGTTGGTGGGATAAGCAGGGGCCTGGTGGTGAAGGGGCCTATATGCCATGGCAAAAAGGTGCCTTTACCTTGGGCAGGCTACGGAGAGCAGTTGAAGAATTTTAAGCATGGAGGACAGCATCAGAATTTTGTTTAGAAGTATTACTTACATGTCAGCACGAAATATGGGTTCAAGAAGGGCAGGCACACAAGGCAGGGAGCCAGAGCAGAAAGTGCTGCAGTCAGCCCAGCATTAAGTAGATGATGATCATCAACAGATTTGAAAGATGTCGAAGGGGCAGAATTGATGAAACTTAAGAGAATGGTGGAATTAAGAGAGCAGAGAGCATAAGGTTTCCAGCTCAGATGAGGACCATCAATCGTAAACAGAATATAGGAGAAAGAGCAGGTAAGTTTAGTTTTGGACATATTGTTTGTTCCCACTTCATTAGCTTTATTGCAGTTTTTGTCCCATAGTCTGAGAACATAGTTCAGGGCACCCACGGTTATCTTGGAACTCCTGAGATGAATGGGGGAGATGCAGAGCCCCAGCCCACTGCCTTCACCCCGCTTTAACTACCCCTGGGATTTTATCTGTGTTGTTTGCCAAGCTCCCACTTAAACATTTGATTTGAAGAAAGTTTCTCAAGCTAAAAGGAAAAGTTTCTGAACAGGGTTCCCTTTTTATTCATCTTCCCATTTTAGGCCTCTGTTTCAATTGTTGTTTGAATGAAGTTCTTTTTCAGGCACCTTCCTGTGGTATATATATGGGTGACACCTTCTCTCAATCCTTGCACATTGTTCTTTCACCCTCACCGGTGAACATTTTGGCTATTTATGGGGTTTGGGGAGCAGGCACAAGCCTTTCTTTGCAGTTAGTAGATGTTACTCTTCTATCTTGTGGTACACATTGTTGTAAATGAGAAATTCAAAGCCATTGTGAGTTATTTGCTCTTTCTTCCTGAAAGTGTATATGATTTTTCTCTGTATTTTAGTGTACCGGAACTTTACCAGAATGTGACTACATGTGTATCCTTCAGTCTTTTCAGTGTCCAGATAAATCTGTTTTTGCAGCCCAGGGAAGTGTTTCAGTTATTTATTTGTCTCAGCTCCTCCATCTGCTCCTTTTTCCTCTTCCAGAATTCCCAGCTACTTACATGTTCGTTCTCCCAGATCTGTCCTGTAGGTCTCGCAATTTTCATCCCTTTGTATTTCTGCTCAGAATTTTAAGATAGCTCTACTTGATCTTCCAGGCCACTAATTGCATCTCAGCAATTAGCCCTCTTTTTTTGTTTCCCCCACAAATTGAGCTTTTTTTGGTGTGGCAAATCATGTTTTGAAAACTGTGAGAAATGTCTTTTGTGTCGTAATTGAACTTCCTTTTTGGTCTATTTATAAAATTTTTGTCTGTCTCCTTTAGCGGTTCTATTAACCCAAGATTCACCATCTCCACAGCACTCTTATTTGCTTCTCCTACCTACTGCTGGACCCCATTAAGGGGCTGCCTTCCTTTTCACTGTTCCAGCTACTGGTAGTTCAGGCAGGGGAGGGCCCAGCAGCCCCTGGGTCATCAGTGTGTGAGCCAGTGCTGCTGAGATGTCAGCAGGCCCCGGCCAAGCATTCTGGCATCCACACCTGGCATTTTCCTAGCCCAGAATAGGGAAGACTTGAGCTTCTTCCCTCTCCTGGCTTCTTGAGGGTCACAGGGACCAGGAGATACCCTTCCAAGAAGCCCCACGGAGACCAGCATCGCCCTTCCTCACAGGGGTCTATGGAGCTCTGTGGACCAGATTCTCTCCAGGGTATTAAAGCCTGATTGTTGCCTTGGAGCCCTCTCCTGACCCCGGGGGACAGTTCAGGACCAGCTCTCTGGGCCGAGCAGGTCTTGCCCACACCCACCCAGCATTGCTTACCTGCCAGCCCTAGTCACTGGGGCTCAGTACAGTTCATTGGATTGGGGATGGGGAGAGGCAGCGGAGACACTTTCTCGTCGTCTCTTCAGAACCACCCAGCAAGTAGAGCCAAAAAAATAGAAACAGTGAGTGAAAGGGAGAGAAACCCAACCAAACTAGAAGGTCCCTGGGCCTCCATCCAGTGCCAGCATTTTACAGTTGTGCACGTTTACGGTCTCCAGCTTCAGCCCGGTCCTCAGTACCCCTGGGCCACACTTCTGTGTCTTCCCAGCATGCTCTGCTGCCCCAAAGGAAATATTTGAGACTTTATTTCTCAAATATTTCTCTTCTCAAGCTCTCTGTTTACCGTCCTTATTCACTGTCAGCCCATGACTTTGAATTTCTTCTCACAGAGAAAAGAGACTCTTATATTAAGTTGCCCAGCTCCTTCACTTACCCTTAAGCCTGTCTCCTTTCACTGCCTGCACGCCACCCATCTTTCCATCCCGCCTCAATCTCTTTCCCACGATTTCTGTGATAATGTGCGCTCCTGGTTTTTCCATTTCTCTGGCCACTCTTTTTCTTTTCTTTTTTCTTTTTTCCTTTTTTTTTTTTTTTTTTTTTGCTTTTAGTCTCACCTAGTTCTGATTCTTCTACCATAGTCCTGGCTGCCAGGGGATCTTTTCAGTGCATGAAGTTAATCATATCACCCCCTGCTTAAAACCTCTTCATGACTAGAACAATCAAAACTAATCCATAGTGATGGAAGTCAGAATAGTGGCTTCTGGGAAGATAGGAAAATAGGAATTGATTGCAGGAGGGCACAAGGGAGCTTTCCAGGGTGCTGGAAATGGTGTATATCTTGTTTGAGTAGTAGTTACATGGGTATCTACATACATAAAAATTCACTGAGCTGTATGTTAAGACTAGTGCATTTTACTGTGTATATGTTATGCCTCAAGTCTTTTAAAAAAAAAAACAACAAAACAACATTCAATGGCTCCCCATTATGACAACAGATTAAAATCGTAACTCCCTGGACTAGCCCACAGATTCCTGTTCATTCCTCCCTCAATTCTTGGCTCAAGCATCCTCCTGTGAAACATATCCAGGGTTATGACACATGGGTCTTCTACACTCACTTAAGGATTGTGAACATAGATCTATCCTATTACTTAACAGACTATGTTGTAACTGTCCATCTGCTTCCCTCAGTTCTTAGGGGCTTCCTAAGTGTAGGGACCATCTCTTCAGTTCCATTGCTCCCCTTAGTGCTTTGCGCAGCAACTAACACATAGTCCCCCACTACTTGTCTGTTGAATGAATGAATGTAAGTTCAGTTGGTGTTTGTTTTGAGCTTGACCCACTTTACTGAAAAGTTTCCTTCCTCCAGCCTGCAGGATGTTTCCTCAGTGAGAGGAAGGCATTTGCGCAATGGCAGTTTTTGATACTCCTGAAGAGGCCTTCGGCGTCTTACGTCCTGTCTGTGTTCAGCTCACAAAGACCCAGACGGTGGAGAACGTGGAGGAGCTGCGGGCACAGTTACAGACCGTGAGTGACTCTGCTCTTCAGGAACTTCAGCAGTACATCCTCTTCCCTTTACGATTTGCCCTGAAGACCCCGGGTCCCAAAAGGGAGCGCTTGACCCAGAGCGTGATAGAGTGCCTCACCTTTGTCCTCTCCTCAACATGTGTGAAGGAACAGGAACTTCTCCAGGAACTCTTTTCAGAGCTCTCCAGTTGTCTGTATTCTCCCAACTCCCAAAAACCTGCCCCTGTGTCAGAGGAGTTGAAATTGGCTGTGATCCAAGGCCTCATCACATTGATGCACTCAGCTTACGGGGACATCGTTCTGACTTTTTATGAGCCCTCTGTTCTACCTCGTTTAGGATTTGCAGTATCTTTACTGTTAGGCCTAGCAGAAAAGGAGAAATCAAAGCAAATTAAAATTGCTGCTTTAAAATGTTTACAGGTTCTACTCTTTCAGTGTGATTGTGACGACCATCCGAGGTGCTTGGATGAGTTTGAGCAAAAGCACCTGGGGGACTTGTTTGCTTCTTTTTTACCTGGAATCTCAACTACACTGACCAGGATCATCACAGGAGACTTTAAACAAGGGCACAGCATTGTCGTATCTTCCCTAAAGATCTTTTACAAGACAGTGGGCTTTGTCATGGCTGATGAACAGCTCAGAAGAATCTCAAAGGTGCAAGCAAAGCCTACAGTGGAGCACGGAGTAGCAGAGCTGATGGTTCACAGGGAAGCTGATTGGGTAAAAAATACTGGTGACAAGTTGACCATCCTTATTAAAAAAATAATTGAGTGTGTTTCAGTTCACTCACACTGGAAGGTGAGGCTGGAGCTGATAAAACTTGTCGAGGCCCTTCTTTTGAAGTGCAGTCAGTCACTGGTCGAATCAGCTGGCCTCCTTCTGAAGACGTTAGTGGGTCTCCTAAATGATGAGAGTCCTGAAGTCCAAGGCCAGTGCAGTAAAGTTCTGAGACATTTTGCGGAGCAGGAGGTAGTGGTGGGCAGCAGAGCCTTTGCTGACATCTTGTCAGAAAACCTGCATTCCCTTGCCACCTCTCTTCCACGTCTGATGAACTCCCAAGATGATCAGGGCAAATTCTCTACTCTTTCCTTGTTACTCGGTTACCTGAAACTCTTGGGCCCCAAAGTGAACTTTGTCCTCAATTCTGTGGCCCATCTCCAGCGCCTTTCCAAAGCCCTTATCCAAGTTCTAGAATTAGATGTGGCTGACGTCAAAATTGTTGAAGAGCGGCGTTGGAACTCTGACCATCTGAGTGCTTCTCCAAAGACCTTAGCCGCGCGGCCATCAAGTCAAATCCAGAGGAGGTATTTCCGCTTCTTCACTGATGAGAGGGTTTTCCTGCTTTTGCGGCAGGTCTGTCAGCTTCTTGGTTTTTACGGGAACCTCTATTTGCTTGTCGATCACTTTATGGACCTGTACCACGAATCTGTGGTTTACCGAAAACAAGCTGCCATGGTCCTTAATGAGCTGGTTGCAGGGGCTGCTGGGCTGGAAGTGGAAAATCTTCATGAAAATCATATTAAAACAAGCCCAGAGGAACTGAGAGAGATCGTGGCATCTCTCCTTGAAGAATACACAAGCCAAGAAAACTGGTATTTGGTCACTTGTATCGAAGCTGAAGAAATGGAAGAGGAGCTAACAGTGAAGCAGTCAGGCCTTCAGGCCATCACATCTGGTGCACACACCTGCCAAGTTACATCTTTTCCAGCCTTCTCAAAGCCAAGTCCCACGATTTGCTCCATGAACAGCAACATCTGGCAAATATGCATCCAGTTGGAAGGGATTGGCCACTTTGCATATGCACTAGGAACAGATTTCCGATTGCTCTTGATGTCAGCCCTCTATCCAGTCCTGGAGAAGGCTGGAGACCAAACCCTGCTCATTAGCCAGGCAGCCACCAGCACCATGATGGACATTTGTCATGCTTGTGGCTACGACTCCCTGCAGCACCTGATCAATCAAAATTCAGACTATTTGGTGAATGGGATCTCCTTAAATCTGCGTCACCTGTCTCTCCACCCCCACACCCCAAAGGTCTTAGAAGTCATGCTGCGGAACTCCGATGCTAGCCTGCTTCCTTTGGTGGCAGATGTGGTTCAAGATGTCTTGGCTGCCCTTGATCAATTTTATGATAAGAGAGCTACTTCCTTTGTCAGTGTTCTGCATGCCCTGCTGGCAGCATTAGGTACACTGAGAGCCCTCTTTAATGCCATTTGGGGGAAGAACTAGTATCTGTGTTTGCCTCACCTTATTTTTTTCTTTCTTTTTTTGTGGTTATGCTGTGGAGGACATTATTTGAATATTGGTTTAATTTGAATATCATTTGATATTCTCCCACGTATTATGGTAGAGTTCCATTGCTTTTACACACATACACACACACACACATACACACACACACACACACAGGGGAGGGAAAAAGTAGGCTTACAGTTCATATGGAAAAAGACATGCAGGTTATGATTATTACAGTAGCTTTATTAACTCAAAAGAATGGCACAATGCACTTAAGTCCAATCTCATAAGTGCTCAGATTGTCCAGCTTCATTATCTACACATTCTTATGTCTACTTGCTATACTCAAGCACACATCAGTTTCGTAACATGCTCCCCTTATGCAGCAAATCGTATCCCCAGTATGTGGTTTTCATAAAAAGATTTTATCTTTGACAACACCCCAAAAGAAGAAGTCCATTGGGGTGAGAGGTCTAGTGATTGTGGTGGCCACGCCACTGACCCTCACCAATCTGTCCTGTGTTGGGTGCTCACAACTGTGAACCTACCTTTGCCCACCCCTGTATATATGTATACTTTAATAATCCCTATCTTCTCTTGAGCTCCAGCTCTGAGCCAGGGGCATAAGCCCTGCAGACTACATGTAAATATTATTTTTGTTTTACAGATGAGAAGAGCTAAGGCTCAGTGATATCCTGCTTAGCCAGGGTCACATAGTTTGTAAGGAGAAAAGTCAGGATTTATGATTTTTTTTGTTTTTACTATACCAAGCTGCTCCTGACAATACTTAAGAATTAGCAGTATCTGTGCTGACGGAGAACAGACATAACGTGAATTATTCAGTCTATAGAGAATCTAGCACAGTGCTGTCCAATAGGACTTTCTGCCATGATGGAAATGTTCTGTATCTGTTCAGTGCAATACAATAACCACTAGCTATGTGTGGCTAATGCAACTGAGGAACTGAATCTTTTAATTTAATTTAAATAGCCACATGTAGCTAGTGACTGCCATATAGAACAGAGCAGTTCTAGAAACTTTCTTTTAACCTTTTAATTGTATGAGGAAGTTTGAGATTCTCTTCTGTCCTTTGATCCTGTTGGGTGTCTGTTGGGGGTGTTAGCCACCATTAAAATGGTGATTTTTGGACTGGCTATACGAAAAAAAAAAATCCCTCAACTAAATAGTTAATCTTTGAATGAAAAAAATAATGAGCTGTATACCTGAGTCTCTTTTATCCGAAGAGCATAACTCTGGTACTTATTTCAGTCCTGCGAATAGCCTTCAGAGCAGGTGGGGAGGTCACTGCCCTGCCTCCTCTTACCAGCTGAGAAAGCCAAGTGTGTGTAAGGAAGTTTCTCCTGCAAGGTAGCTGGAAGAGGGACAGTCCTCTGACCTGTAGCTAATACCTAATACCATTGCATACAAGGGAACAAATCATGCAGTTCATTTCGGAATCTTACAAGCACTGTGAAAAAAATAAGACAACTTGATACAAGAGGGTAACAGGGACAGGTTACTTTTGAGTAGATATATGCTCTTTGGATAAAAGTATGTAGTCAAGGAGGGGCTCTCCGAGGAAGTGACACAAGAGCTGAGGCCTGAAGGCTGTCAACTTCCTGTTTATTTTAAGAACATTCAGGCAAAGAGAACAGCGGGTGCAAAGGCCTGGAGGGAAGAAAGGGCTTGGGGGTCTTTGGAGAATGAAGGAGAGGTCATTTTGGAGAGACTGATAACAAGCTGAAATTAGAACAGTAAACGAGGACAAATTCTGCAGGGCCTGGAGACCGAGGAGGGCAGTATTGTGGTTCAGATTTCAGTTTGCAACCACTTGGAAGCCTGTGTACTGGACTTGCCCATGGGCCGTCAGCATTGACCAAGGAGAACCTGGTCGCTGTCCTCCTGGGAGCACTACTAAGACTGGCTAACTGCTTATACATTTTAGACTGTGGCTGACTTCCATGGTCCAAATACACTCCAGACTTCTTCATTTAGTACTTTGGGGAACTCTACTACATGTTAATTTGAGATTTAAAAAAATATATTAAGAAAAGGCCTATTAAATATATCCTCCCTGGAGCTATCTCAATTTGGGCCTTGAAAATTGAATTGCCTTGGATTGCTGATGTCTTTGGTCATCTCTCAGGGAGAAATCCTGTGTAGCACTTTTTTAAATTGAAATGGAGGACGAGGAAGTCTCCATTGCAGAGGGGAAAAATCGGGGTAGGTAAGGTTGACTTGAGGGCATCCTAGGAAAAGGAGCACCATTGGGGATAGCGTTTCTGAAAGTCTTGAGGCAACGCAGAATACCCTTGTGTCCTGAAGGGTAAGCAGTACTGAGGTGGAGTTGAACAGTCACGCACGAATCAAAGCACTGGATGGTGGCATTTCTGTTTTGTCATCCAGTTGTCTACTTGATGGTAACTCTTCTAAGATGGGAGTGGGAATGTGGTGTCAGGGAACTTCCAAAAGGTCTTAGAAGAATCCAGGACATGTTTGAGGAAATTGCATGCGGGGGTGCCACGTTGTCTTGATGGTTGCATGATATTCTATTGTGTGGCTGCATAATTTATTTAAGTAGTCCTTTCTTGGTGTACGTTTTGGTGGTTTCCAGTCTTTTGCCACCACAGAAAAAAAAAAGTTACAGTGAATATCTTTGTAGGCCATTTCAAACATGGCTAAGTATATCAGTAGGCAAATGCCGGCTTAGAGAGTATTACATTGAAATGTTGGATAGAGTATCAAAGTGCTCTCCAGAGAGTTTGTGCCAATTTAAACTCCCATCAGCTATGTAAGAGTGCCGATTTTGCCACGCCCTCACCCATACTGTATGCACCCAGCTGTTTGATCTTTGCTAATCTAATTAAAAAAAGGACCTTATTATAGTTTTATTTGCACTAAGACCGAGGTTGAGCTTTATTTCGTATGTTTAAAAAAGCCAATTGTGAGCAAAGACTTTTTAATGTCTGGCATTAGCCTTAAATCTAGAAAGTAATCTTTGTACCCTATCTACTTGTAGCAGTGTGAATATTGCGTCCTAACTTGAACTCGTTGGGAGTGCAGTGTTCTCCCAACGAGGAGCCTGATTTAGGGGCCTGAATAGGAGCCTGATTTACCTCTGGGGATGAGGCATTGAAGAAGTGACCCTACATACAGGAACCGCCAGGTATCGGAGCGAAGGCCCCCATTTCGGGCCTTTGCCCCCTGCTCCTCTCCGCTGCCTGACCGGACATCCCTGCCTGCTGTTGCTCTGGCTCTGCACAGATGCTCCTCGATGGAAAGGACATTAGCAGGTGCTGAAGGTCATCGGAGGCTTTGTCCCTGCTGCCTGCAAAAGGAGAGCGGAAATGCAGGCTGGGGGGGTTTCTTCTTGTTCTTTCACTTCTAAGTATTAAGAGCCTTTTTGAAATGACACCCTAGGGGAGCCCAGTGCACGAAAATTATTGAAATTAGAGCTGCCCTGGTTAAAGAAGGGCTAGAAACCCTGGACCCCCGCCTCTTTAGCCCACTATCTTTTGGCCTCCTTGTTGTGACCCCAAGACAATTATGCAGAACCCTAGGGCTTCTCAAGGCGCAGTTTGAAAACCTCTGACTCAGTGATGTTGAAGTCTTATTCTATGGTGACACATAGAAGTAATGAAGCGTCCCTGCAGAAGGAAAAGCTTTGGAGAGAAAATAGCAGCATTCTGAAGCATTTTATATCAGAAACACAAATATAAGACTTCATTCTCAAGGCTCCATAGAACCTGTCTTCTGCTAATGAGTAGCATACCCTATACTCAGAATTTTGTCATTTGTACATGTTCTCCAACCTAGTGTATTCATTCAGCATATGCTTCTGAGTACCCATTCTATGCTGGGCATATTGGATTTCCAGTGGTTACCAATGGGGCATGGAGTCTAAATAGTACACACAAATGAAATATAATTACACATTGTGATGAGTTGGTATGAAAGCAGAGAACATGGTGCCATATAAGATAGCATATTAGGGACCTAAGTTAGATTGGGAAGAGCCAAGGGATGGCTTTAATGGGCAAGTTATAGTCGTATTGGGACATGAAAAGTGAGCTGGAATCAGCCAGATGTGACGTGGAGGAGGGAGTATTCCAGACACTGAGACAGTGTATTCAAAAGTTCTGAGGCAGGAAAACACCTGGCACATGGGAGAAACTGGAACATGGTAGGGCAGCTGGGAGTGGTTAGAAGAAGAGGTCAGAGAGAGGGGTAGGGCCTGGATCATGCATGGGCCATGCAGACCATGGCAAAAAGCTTATTTTACTTGTAAAGTACTAATGCCTATTGTCAATGACCAAGGTGATCATTGTAACACTTTATTATTTACAGCCCAGTGGTTCCCAGACACAAGTGATCTTGGGCAACTCCAAGAGCAGAGTGTAGGGGAGGAGGGAAGTCATTTGAGCAAGAGACCAGCAACTCTTCAAAAAGGACTTGCGAATACCACCACAGCCGAAGACATCGAACAATTTTTGCTTAACTACCTCAAGGAAAAGGATGTGGCCGATGGAAATGTCTCAGATTTTGATGAGGAAGGTAAGTATAATTTATTCTGGCTTAGCCGTTTCTTTCTTTTTGAAGCAGATTATTGTAAAAACATTGAAACACCATTATAGAGGCTTGGAAGTAAGAAAAGTCGATCATAATCCCACCATGCTAACATAGGCATTCTCACTTTTTGTGTAATCTTTTTCCATTCTTTTTTTTGTTGCAAACCTATTTTATATGGCTGCAGCCTCAGTTTAAAGGCATTATGCCCTTTTTGCATGTACTTATATAATAAGACACTCTCCATGTTGCTATAGAGTTTTCATAATTAATGTTTTAATAGCTGCTACAAAGTACCCATTCCCCTGTGGGAAGTGTATGTTGGTTGTAGCTTTTCACTCTGATAAACAGCTGCAGTGGATGATTCTGTGCACGTGACCTTTTCCTTCTTTTTACATATGTCTTTATAAATCCCAGAAATGGGATTTCTGGGTCAAATATATGAACATTATTTTATGCTTGTCAAATTGCCTTCCAGAAAGGTTGTATCCGTTTATACCTTTCCTTCAGCAGTGCGGGATTTATACTGGTTTTGCCACAACCTTGCCAATTTTGGCTATCGCAGATTTTACTTCCTGCTGAATCAAAATGGTGCTTCTTATTTTACTTTTCATTTCTCTGATTAGTGGGAACATTGAACATCTTTCTCTGTGCTTCTTTCCTGACAGTTTTTTTTTTTTAACTTATGCCCATTGTTTATTCATATGCTTTGTTCATTTATTTATTGGTAGGAGGAGGGTTCAGCGTTTTTCTTACCAATTTATATGATAAAGGAGAAGGGAGTTTAGGCTAGCTGAAGCTCTGGCCTGTTGTTTTATTCACAAGCTCAATCTGGAGCTTCAGGTCACAGAAGGATTAATAAATTATTAGAATCTCCTCTGCAAATATAAAATGCCAAGTTATAATGAGCTTGGTGGTCTCAGAACTATCCTAAATCGGACTGAGTCCCAAATTAGTTTGTTAGGTTGGAATCAAGCAGATTTCTTTCTTTTTCTGTTTTGGCAATTTCTACTCTGAGACTCTGATGAACTGAAGCCAGTCCTTCCAGGATAGCAGGAAAATAGTAGCTGAATGCAACTAATTACAACAAACTCCTTCTAAACAGCAGGGAAGCATCACGGGGCCCAAATAACGATTTATGTGGAGTCATGTCCTTGGTTTCCCCAAGGACAGAGTTTTCTGATCAGAAATCTCTCAGGCTTTTTCTTCTCAGTTTTGTTTCAGCCCAGTCCTCCTTTTCATGAACTGCACCCCCCACTCAAACCTAAAGAAGGGGAGGCAGCTTGATTCCTCATAATCTGGATTTGCCATTCTTGTTTGAAATTCTAGCTTAGTCAGTGGATCCGTTCTTTCACGATTAGGATCTTCTGGTTCTAGTTGATGTTCACAAGGCGCAGACTGAATGAATCAAACCTTTCTTCCAGTAACAGAAAAATCCACATCCTCAAATAACATTTGGCAATAGGTGAATTTCAAACAACAAATCCTCCTCTGGGAAGAAAAGCACAGCCTTATCAGTCTTATAATTATCATTCATCAAGTACACACCGCACACTTGGCATTATAAAGAATGTTTGGCTTGATGTTGGTTTGACAAGCGTTTTTTGTTTCAACCACAATAAAAACGCCTCGTGTATCTGAGGTCCGTTTCTCCAAGAAATCCAAGCATTGTACAGGCGCATTTTCACTTATCCCTTCAGCATCTGTTCGAGACAGGTGTGGCCTCTACTGTAAGATTCCGTTTTTCCAGCAGAGGAAACTGAAATGGGAAAAAGTTAAGGGAGCAGTGCTCAGCTTAATGGAAATAAGCACAGCTGGTAATGGGGGTGTGGGGGAGGCTGGAGGCTATAAGTAAACAGAAATTTTTCAGGGTAGGGATTTTGGCCTGGGTTTCATGAAACTCTCAAGTCTTTTTGTTGTTTTAATTTACAAATGTATACCTCTCTCATTCAACAAAGCACTCTAGGCAGTGAAAGAATAATAATAGCTGGCAACATTCATTTCATTTAACTCTCTCAACAAGCGAGTAGGGCATACCTGCTGTATCCCGTTCTATCAGGTGAGGTAATGTGGGGTGAGAGGGCTGATAATAGATTGCGCAGGCAAGACTGGAACGGACCACTCTAACCAAACCCTTTCCCTGTGTGTGGCGCCACGCCACCCTGGTCATGGAGAGGGAAGTAAGGCTTGATCTTGGCCATCAAAAGATCTAAAGGCTGGTGGCGAAGGCAGATGTGTACCGCCTTTAGTCAAAGGATAAACCACAAGAAAAGAGTAAAGGCCCAAATGCCATCCAGGGAACTGCGCAGCCTCAGGGCTCCGTACTAGAATCTTGCTCCCTTATGTTTTTATTTTAAATATTTGTTAATGGAAGTTTAGAAAAGACCAAAGATATAGGGAAAAAAAATAGAAATCGTCTGTTATCTCCTGACCCCTCTCTGCTAGTATTTTGTTATACTTCCTCCTATCTTTATATGAAAATATCTCTAATAGCGCTCACACTATTTGTCCAATACTATTTCCTGCTCTCCTCTTTTTTTAAAATAAATATTTCTTTTTTAAGTATTTTATTTATTTATATTTTTAGAGATGGGGGAGGGAAAGGAGAAAGAGAGGGAGAGAAACATCGATGTGCAAGAGAAACACTGATTGGTTGCCCATTCCATGCCCCCAACCGGGGACCTGGCCCGCAACCCAGGCTTGTGCCCTCACCCAGAATCGAACTGGTGACTGTTCTGTTTGCAGAACAATGCCCAGCCCACTGAGCCGCTCCAGTCAGGGCTCTTTCCTCTTTTTACAACTATTATTTCATTAGCATTTTCCCTTGTCATTAAAGCCATTGGTGAACGAAAATTTTAGGGCTCTACCAAGCTTTATAAAACCATTCCCTCTCGAGTGGACTTGCAGGGTTTTCCCTATTTTTTAGCTGTTATAATTAACGTTTTGATGAATATTATGACTCATCTCTTGACCTAAATTTAACATGGCTTCCTTGGGATCAGTTCCTAGACATTTTCCCTCTTAAGTCCCATTCTTGATCTTAGGCTGGGAGATCAGGTTGAAATTGGGCACCTCTCATCAAATGCTGTCTCTGGTTATGCTCTTTTTCTAGAGGAGCAGTCAGGCTCTCCCAAAGCGGATGAGGATGACACCGGGCCCGATGTGAAGCCGCCACTGCCATTGCAGATCCAAGTAGCCACAGACGTGATGGAGCGGTGCATCCACTTGTTGTCAGATAAAAATCTGATAATCCGCTTGAAGGTCAGTGTGCGGCCGTTTCCCTGCATTCACAGAGCAGCAGGACTAAGGTTTGGCTTGGTTGGCAGCGACTGCAAAGGTGAGCAAGTAGCTGCCCTTATCTCCTAGTCTGCAGCTGTGGCTAAGAGAAGCCATCAGGAGGAATTTATCTGTGGGATGTCATCCTTAGGTCCTTCTGTATTAGCTCAAATGCCTAAAGGAGTTGAGTCCCCTTTGTGGAATTAAAAAACCACGAAGTTTTGGAGAGTCATTGAATCTCCAAGGGGAAGAGAAGTATATGCTTTGCAAAGGATGTCATTTTCTGAGCTGACTTAATGCAGGATGTGGTTAGTGCTTTAAAATGGTCATTCTTCCAAGCCTGAGGCTAGCCCTTATCTCTGTTTCTGTTTCTGTTTTCATCCCAAGAAAAACACCAACGCTGTTCTTAATCTTACATCTTTGCTGGCAGTTTCCCAAGCAACAACGCCATCAGCAAGGACTTAAGCTATACGGTTGTGACTCTAGTAACAGGACAGCGGGGTGCAGTGGGGTGGGTATTCAGGACAGGACTTTCAGAATCACTTGGGGGAAGACCTTAATACCCAAAGGAAAAACACAGCCTGGCCCACCCATCCCCGCTGGCAGCTGCTTCAGTGAATTACTATTACCAGTGAGAGCCCATTATTCTCCTCCGGGCGGTGGGCTGAGAAACCCTGCGGCGCAGGGCATCTCCACCCTCAGCCTGCCTGTTTTGTGAAGTTTGCTTGATCTTCCCAGAGATACATCTTAGCATGCCCCTGCTGTTTCCATTCAGGAGGCACTCTTCCAGTGCCTGCTCCATGCAAGGCTTTGTCTGGTTGATATTAATACATTAGGCAAGCATCTTCCCCTTTTTATGGAGACTTTGTAGCAGTTGTATACACACTGCTACAAAGTTATTGAGAGCATCAGTATTGGAGTCATTCCTACAGGCCCAAGTGCAAATCCTGGCCCTGCTTCTTATTAGCCATGTGACCTTGAGTCATTAATTCACCTTTTTGAACCTTCGCTTCTTCATCTGTAAGATGGAGATGATGGTGCCTACCTCACTAGGTTATTGATTACAAATGCAAAACAGTTAGCATCCAGTATGACATATACTGTCATTCAGTTATTCACTCAGTGCTACTGAGACCTGCTACAGTCAGGCAGAGGGTGCATAGGAGGAAATGAAGCAGATATGATCCCTGTCTTCATGGAACTTGCTATCTCCTGCGGGGAAGAGAGGCGGTACACACACTCTTACAGGCTGAGGAAATGCTGTAAAAGTAATGAGCAGGCTCAGTGATGGAAGACAGTAATTCACCCAAGCAGTAAACATGGGGACCTCCTCTTCCCACCCTGTGAGTAAGACACAGCTTACATTCTGATTTAGGTCATCAGGAAGCCTTCTCTGGTGATAGTATTTAAACCGACACTTAAAAGTTTGAGAAGGAGCCAACCATGCCAAGGGGCAAATGCAGAGAGAACTTTCCAGGCAGAGGAAGAAAATGTGTGTCTTTGAATCAGTGAAGTATGGCGTAACTTGCCCTATTAGTAACAATTCAAATTCAAAGCCAGTCAGTGATACCCAAGCTGCTTCCACAGTGCTGCTCTGCTGTGGGTTGTATGTTGAGGTTTCTCTTATTCCTCTGCCTAACCATTCACCCCTCAAGGGCAGGGCCTCTTTTGTTCTTTGTTTCTGTTCCAGTCTCAATGTGACCAGCACATAGTAGGCTCTTAATAAAGGGTTTCTCTGTATTTCTGACTCAGACACGTACTCTCCCCTGCTCTGTGAGGGCTGGCCCAGCCGTGTGGCAGGGAAGCCTGCGTCAGCGGCCGCTGCCTCTGATAACTGAAGCGGGCCATCTGTTCTGAGTGAGCTTTGAGAGATGGGAGATCAGGAAACATATTCTAATGGAAAGTGAAAAATGCAGCTTTCATCTGAGCTACCCCAAACCTTTCTTCTGAGGTTGACCTGTATCCCAGCTGCCTACTTGACCTCTCCATTTAGAAGCAACAGAACTTGAGCTCACCTCGCCTTTCGATTTTCCTCCTCCATTGTTCCTGTCTCATTAAGCAGCACCTGCATCTATTCAGCTGCTAAGCCTGAACCCAAGCAGTTCTTTCTCATACCTCTCCTCATCTCCCCAATACCGACTCTTTCAGCAATTTAGGCCATTTCATCTTCAAAACAGGTAATGAATCCTTTCACTTCTCTGCCACCATCATGGGGCCACCTCACTTTCCTCCTCTCACGGGGACATGTGCCATGGCTTCCTAAAGGGTCTGCATACTTCTCCCTCACGCTTCAAGTCCCTTCTCCGCCCAGCAGCCAGAGTGACCTTTATAAAACATGACTTGTATCATGCCACTTTCCTGCTTAAAACATTTTGATGGCTCCCTGCTACCCTTAGTACAAAATGGAAAATCCCTAACATGACGCCTGTGCGGCACAGCCCGTCTTGGCCCTGCTCTGCCGTGCTCGCGCTGCCCTGCCTCCGCTCCCGAAGCACGGCGTGCTCCCCGCCTCTGGGTCTGCACTCGTGGAAACACTCTCTGTGTTCATAGCTCACTCCTACTCTTCCTTTATGTCTCCTTTTCGAGGTTTCCTTCCTAGCACTTGTTGCAATTGGTAGTCACCCCTTTATTTGGGTGTTACCTAATTCAGGTCTTGCCGCAGTTGACCAGAAGCCCCATGAAGGCAAGAAAACACGTATTTTGTCCCTGTGTGTCTCCACCCAGTACCTAACCAGTGCTTGGCATGTTGTTAGGACTCGGTAAATATTTATCTGGTTAATGAGTTTCTAAAATGTTACTCTTTTAAAATGCTGACCCCATCACCAAGTACCTGGTTTCCAGCCTTTCCTGTCTCCTGAAGCTATGCCCTCTTTCCCTTCAGGTCTTGGATGTGCTGGATCTGTGTGTGGAAGTTCTGCAGTCCCAGAAAGACCAGCTCCTTCCCTTGGCTCACCGGGCCTGGCCTGCACTCGTACGCCGACTCACAGATGATGACCCTCTGGCAGTGCTCAGAGCCTTTAAGGTCCTGCCCTGGTGGCCCACTACCATCGTGGGGCGGAGGGGAGGGAGCGCAGAGTTCACCAGTGATTTGGGGGACCGGTTCTCTTTTTATTTGATTTGCAGTGTAATATACCTTGAAGAAAGCCTTGCAGAAAAATAAGAAAGACACAAAGAAGAAAGTAAAAGTCAGTTTCCCTTCTGAATTTGAAGTAGGGTGAACTAGTGGATCAAAGGGCCACCAGTATCTATTGAGCACCGACTTTGTGCCCCGTGGTGTGCTTGGCATTTCCCCACACGTGAGCTCATCTCCTTATAACAACCTTGCAAGGCGGATGTCATTATCCCCGTTTTTGACAAAGGAGGAAACAGGCTCAGAGAAGCTAAGGAGTTTCCTCAAAATCACACAGCTAGTAAGTGATAGAACCCAAACCTGTGAGTTCATGCCCTAGTTCTTTGCACTGAGCAAGAGTCAAAGGGAAGGGACCTAAGTTCTAGTAATGGGCATCCTATGCCCAGCCAGCAACCTCAGACAAAGCCCATGACCTCCCATCTTCAGGTTGGGCTTAGGAACGCCTGCTCCGCCTTTCTCATAGCGTTGTTGTCAAGGACAAAATGGGACTGTTTGGCGAAATACTTTGAAAAATTAAAAGCCCTGCATATATGTAAGGTATTTTTCTCCCTGACTTAGTCTGGCTTATATTAACACACATATTTTAGCTTATTTATTTATATTCTTCCTTGTTCTAAAAAGCACTTAAGGCAACCTACAGAGATACATTTACCATGGCAAGCTGATATAAATTAGAAGTAGGTAAGCAAGATGAGGCGAGAGAAAAGATGTGTAGGGATATAAAAATGAGGCCAGGAATGCAACTAAGATACTTGGCAAAGGTAATTTGGTTTTCTGTCAGATTCTTCAGCATATACCACACACTTATATTTAAAACATAAAATTGTTAATATTTTTTTCAAAAGCACAACACAAAATGATTGTGTGTGTGTGTGTGTGTGGAGAGAGCACAAGAGAAAAAGAACGGGAAAGGGAGGGGGAGGGAGTTCTTGCTAAATTTTATTCAGGTGTGCTGCTTTTCTTTATGAAAATTAATAGGTTATCTGGAATGACAGCAAGCGTAAGAAAATGAAAAAAATATAAAGGTGTATGCACTGTAACTGAGGCGGCTTTTCCACTCCCGGACACATTATGACGCCCGAGGCCTGCAAGGCCTTGTGCAGCCCAGCGGAGGGACCTGAAATAAGCACCCTCTTCTCTGCGAAGTCGGCACACACTCTGCGCTGGTTATGCCTTGCTTACCAATTTTTAAAGAAATTCCTGTTATCCTGTATTCTCAGTCCTGTGCAGCGGGGCAAAACGCTTCAATATGTTCTGCTAGAGAAAGTTTAAAATGAGACATGCAAAGAAACTGCCTGTTGTGAAAGATGGAATGAGGGTGATGTATATAAGAGACTGTGCGGTGGAACAGGAGGATCTCCGACTCGGCTCCGACCAGTGCGGGCTCCGCTCTTACCCAGCCGAGGGACCTTTGCCGACCGCTGCCCCCACCCCGTGCCTGCCCGTGGCGGCAGCCCTGCCCTGGCATCTGTGGTTGCTGAGCTAGTTAGAGCTAAAACACAAGCCTTTCCTCAAGGGATATTAGGGAGATTCAAGAGATGATCTGTGTGAGCTGCTTTAAGGTCTTCTTTTTTAACAACAAAGGGAGGAAAATCGAGGGATTAATCATATTCATCCAACCAAGATTTCTTGGCGTTATTCTCCATGTAATCTGTATTTATGGATAGAAGCAGCTGTACCTTGGGAGCAGAGACCTCCAAATTCATAACTGTCAGAATCACAAACCATGGGCAAGGAATTAACAGCAGTAATTTTATTTTATTTTTTTTCCCAAGCAGAGGCCTAGATGAAATTGAATTACCAAGCATTCTTTAGCTCTCTTGCTGCCTTAGCGATGTTCAGTCACCAGCTCAGGGGCTGTTTCTGCAGGTTCTGCGTACCCTGGGAGACAAGTGTGGCGATTTTCTCCGCAGCCGGTTCTGCAAAGATGTCCTGCCAAAGCTGGTCGGCTCCTTAGTCACGCAGGCTCCCATCAGTGCCCGGGCTGGGCCAATTTACTCCCACACACTGGCCTTCAAGTTGCAGCTGGCTGTCTTGCAGGGCCTGGGCCCCCTCTGCGAGAGACTGGACCTAGGTGGGTACCAGGCAGCGTCACCTGGACAAGCAGGCGGCGTTGTCTCACGCTGACCGTCGCGCTGTCCGCTGAACCGTGCTTCCCTCGCCTCCCTTCCTGCGCACATCCTTCAGCCTTCCCTGGACCTCATTTAGCCACTTACCCCGGTGTGTTTTTTGACTTGTGGGGTGGAGTAAAGAGGCCACAGCATCTTGCCTAGCTCTTCCAGTTTCACCACACAGTAGTTGGTTACCCCTTGTCCCAAGTCAAGTCTGAGGGCCAGCGCTTATTTTATTTTCCCTCTCTGCAGGTGAGGGTGACCTGAATAAAGTGGCTGACGCCTGCTTGATTTACCTCAGTGCCAAACAGCCTGTGAAATTACAAGAGGCTGCCAGGAGGTACGTCTGCTTGGTCATCCGCATCTCTTTACGTTTGTCCTAAATTATAGATGATTTGCTCATGGCAAGCAGAGTTGAGGCATGTCTGCGCTTTCCTCTCTGTCTTCTTGCTAGGTGAAGGTAATTTCTTTAACTGCACCACCTCTAGAGATGGTATTTTTACTAGACGCATTTCTCTTTGCAAGTCACCTTGCCCTCTGCTGCAACGTCAGCAGCAATGCCAAAGTGGCAAAAGATAGAAGGGTGGTGTTCTGGAGAGGACGGAGCGCTGATGCTGGGCCCCGCTTGTCTGGTGACCAGGTGACCCCGGCACCTCTCTGGGCCCCGGCTCCCTCATCTACAAAGTGAAAGCATTGGGTTCCTGATCTTGCATATCTTGACGCCAGGGAGCATCTTAATGGGCATCAGGTGCCATGAACTCTCACAAATTATATGCAAAGTTGGGTGTGTGCAAGCAGACACACGCATGCCTTTCTCTAGACAGAACTCTTACTGTTCGTCCAATTATAATAGGAGTCTGTGAACCAAGACATGTTAAGAACCACTAGGTTAATGGCTTAAAGGGCCTTTTTTGACTCTGAAATGATGTGATTCTCATTTCCAAGAGTCTTGCTTATTTGCGAATAGCTGTACCACCTCTAATGGAAGAAGCTATGTCTGGTTCCTTGAGTCCTAAAGGTTTTTTCTCAAAGCTAAAACTCTGAGCACAGCAGCATTCCCCGACTTGGGATCCAAAATGCAGCCTGGCCCCCTTTCTCCAGCTCTCCCTTTAGCTGGGAGCAGCCTGCGCCCTAGAACTGACATTCCCTGGACGTCCGCTGCCGGAGCAAAAGCTTGCCTGTGTGGCCTGGCGCTGTGTCCCTGCAGCTCCACGTTCAGGAGCAAAGAAACAGTCCCTCCCCTCGTTAGGCTTCCTGGAACCGTGTGGAGGGAGAAATCTCATTCCCTGGGGGCAGAGAGCCTGCTCTGACTGTGGAATGAGGAAAGCCGACTTGTGCCCTTATAAACCTTGCACTCCTGGGACTGATGGAAATATCTTTTTGAATTGATTTATTGTCCTGTGCAATTTTTTGCTCCTGATGTTCCCAGTTTCCTTTTTTCTTTCTGTCTCTTTCCCATCACATCCCCCGGGCGCAGAATCAGTCTTGGTTCCTCCAGCACAGAGTGCATCCTAACCAGCTTCTTATCCCCAGACCTTCTTACTCCTTAGAGAACCGGCTTGGGCTGAAAGTGGCCTTCCCTGGGCAGTGTCCTTGAAGCTAATTGTATATGATTTAAAGTACAAGTCAAGAACATAATGAGTTCATCTTGAAGTAAATTCTTTTGTGTGCCTGGTACAACCGAGCTGCAGAGATCTGATTTTCACTGTCCTTGCCCCATTCTCCTTCTACGCCCACCTGTATTTGTCCTTTGAGTTTAGACCCAACAAACAAGCCAGTATTTGCAATTCATTATCTTTCCATTTTCTTTTTCTCTTTCCTTTTTTTTTTTTTTTTTTTTTTGCCACCAAAACCAATTAAACCCAGAATTAGGCCTTGCTGAATCTTGAGCTGGTGGTATTCAAGGTGCCTGGGAGGAGGAAAATGCAGCCAGGCCACTTGACTGCAGGGCCTTTGTTTGCTCCCTGGCATTCCATGCGGGGTTGAGTCAGATGACCTCCCTCTCGCTGGGCTGGGAGGGGAGGAAGTGCAAGGTTGATTGCTTCACCAACACATCATCTGCACACTTATTTTGAAGTCAGGAGAGAACACGTCAGTGTTGTCCTTGATCCGGAGCTGATTTGGCATCTTGATTCAAAAATTAATAAGCTCTCTAAATGGGAGAGGAAGCTCGAGACAATGGGAAACCTGGTCTCTTTGTGAGCCTCGTCACCAAGTGGAGAGAGGGAGATGGGTGGGCCGATTAGCGCTGCAGCAGTCCTACCTGCAGGGGCTGATGAACAAGGGCAGCAAGGGCCCGCACCATCCATTCAGTCGTTTGTCTTTAATGCTTCTCTTTCCTTCATACCCCGCATCCATTCCGGAAGTGAGACCTGTCTGCCTAACTCAGAAAATCTGTCCTCAAACTGTCTGCTTATCCTCGCCTCCCGGTCAGGCCAGGCCATCCTCATCTCTTACCCAACGGCTGCACAGGCCTCCTTGCCGGCCCCCTGCTTCCGCGCCTGCCCGTCGGTATTCCCCGCGCAGCAGTCAGTGGCGCATCCCCTCTCACCATAGGAGAGAAGGCCATTGTGCTTGTTGCCAGGGCCTCAGGGGGAACCCTCTAGCCAGAGGGTTACAAAAACTCCAGCACCAGCTTAGTACTCAGAAGAACCTGTAACTCCAGAGCTGCCCAGAGAACTCTGGCTCCCTCCGAGGTAGTAAGTTCCCACACTGGGCAGATGACCAGCTTGCTTTGCAAGGGGCCCCCCTGTCTGACAGGGCTGATGAGGAAACTGTGAGGGCCAGTGGCTGCTCTGAAACGGGATGGGTGAGCCCCAGCGCCTGTACATCTGCGAGTGGGTTGTTGGGACCCCCGAGGGGCAGCCGCCCTGGAGTTGGAATGGAGACAAATTCGGCAGCTCCATAAAAATTGCTCTTTGTGTGCATTACACATGGGTGTTTCCTTCCTTCTGTTTGCTTTTCCCGGCTCCAAAGAATGACCAAGCCTGTGTTTGCTTTTTTAATTTGTCACATTAAATATAGCCTTGGTGGCAGGCTTTTACATCCAGGCCGTAAACTCTAGAAATGGAAATTGATCAGGGGGTGGTTGATATAACCGAGGCCATAAATGCTGAGAACGGAGGTGCCATTCCAGTTTAATGCTTTTATCTAGTGACTGTGCCTCGTAAGGAGGGGCATAAATCTTGCAACTTGGGGGTGGGGTGGGGGTAGGGGGTAGGGTATAATCTTGCTGCATGTCACCACCAGGTGTCACTGTTAACTGGCTATGCAAGAAAAATACCAGCTCCCCCAAAGTGAATCTAGTTAAATAACTTCAGTAGATAACACATGAGAAAATCATATTTGGGGTCAGGAGGAGGGCTGAGCATACCACAAGCTGTAAATAAGGTAGTGTATCCCTGAGGGTAAGCATCGGATTACAGAATAACAGGTCATATCAGCTACGCCCCCATCTCATCCTTGGCAGAGGCAAATTTAACTGATTTAAATTCCCAAGTGGCCTCGAAAGCCTCTGAGGTATCTCCCAGCATGCAGTGGGCCTCCACTGTTCTGTGCCTTTCTGGCCATGGAGCTTTTCCTTCCCAAACATGAAAGGAATTTAAGATGCGAGCACACACCCCAAATTTCTGTGTTTTTCTTTCAAGCAAATACATGCTCAGCCTGGTCCAACTCAGTTCCATTAAAACCATATTCCCTGGGCCTATCTGAGTGGCTTCTGAGGCTCCCTATCTTTTGCAGGAAGGTCTTAAATCATCCAATGAGTCTTCTGCCCTGGGGCTATGAAGAACAAACAGGGCAATACCTATTTTTAAAAGATGGAGTCTGTGCCCAACAAGACTCACGTTGAGGAACAATGTTTTTAGGCCACTCAGTCGTCACCACTAGTCCTACCTCCACCTGCCAGCCCCAGAGTCCATGTGTGGATGCAGAGAGAGAGCAGGCAGTGACCAGCTAGTCACCCTGTGATGGTGCAGGTCTTGGATCCTACAGCCCTTGGGGGTGGTGTGTGTGTGCGCGCGCGCGTGCGCATGCGTGTGTTTGTGGGGGGGGCAGCAGGATGTACCCTTCCAGTGTCCTCTGCCTAGACATTGTATACGAGGGCAAAGTGCACCAGGCTTGGAGTTGGACAAATCTAGGTTCAAATCTTACTGGTTCTGTGACCTTGAACAGATGGCTCAGTTGCCTCGTTTCCATCCTCTGTAAACATGGGGTGGTGATAACATCTTCCTCCCAGAGTCATTGTGCAGATGAATTGCATTAATATCTGCGGGAGTCTGCTCAGCGCCCATGGATCAGCCGAGGAGCTGCTGTGTGTCAGGCACTGAAAATAGCGGGCAGCAGGGCAGGAGGCCTCTGCCCTCACGGGGCCTGTGTTTCAGATGTGTATTTTTATGTGTACACACACCTGTGTGGGATACAGAAACTTAACAGATATATGATGTATTATGTATATGTCATACATATGCATGTACACTTGGGCATGGTTTGGGGGTTTTTTTGTTGTTGTTGCTTCATCTGTACTGAAATCAGAACAGTTTTTCACCTCAGAATGATCTTTTCACGTTACTTGTGCCGCCTGCCTCTACTGCCCGTTGGTTTGAGAAGTCACCACCAGGCTGCAGGTCCATTCACTGACTGACTTCCCGCTTTCTTTCTAGCAGTAGGATCCCAGCCCATCAAAGAACCAGCCGGTGCCTTCAAAACCCTGGGCGAACACAGGCTGGCACAGGCGCGTTCGTTTCATCCCTGTCAGAGTCCCAGCGCCTCTCTCTACCCGCACCTGAGCCTATTATATTGGAATGGATCAGGAGTCACAGAGGTGATCCGTTAGTTCAGCTGAGCTTGAAATTAGTAGCTCATCTCCTTAAATGGTGTGGGCAGTTGGTTTGAGCTTGGGCTGCAAAGCTGCTTCCCCCTTGAATCACACCCAGCGTGGAAATGAAGGCACTCCTAATATTTTTCCTTTTGACGTTTGATTAATGGTTGACAAATCCAGACCCAAGTAGTTAGCTTTCCCATTATCCATCTTTTGACAGGCATTGCTGCTTTTCTTTTCCAGCCTCATTGTTCTAAAAATACACTCAGATCTGAAGCCGTTTGCTGTGCATATATAGGCATGATTTCCTGGTGTCAAAGATAAGAGACATCTGCCGTGCAGATTACAAACAAAGTGGGTTGCTAGGTTTCAGATCTGAAGACAGGAACCTCAGTGCTACTTAAAGCAAGTGCTGCCCATCCTTTCCCTGCTTCCTCAGTGTTGTCATGTGATTGATAATCTGCCAGGGTAGACCATTTTACCACCAAGTGGGAAAGGCACGTCTGGGATGTACATGTACA